TGGATCACCTTTTTCTTTGTATATGGTTATTAGTTTACTTTTTGCCCAATCCTTAAGTAATATTTCTTCGCTCCGTATCTTGCTTAGCAGCTCTGTTATCCATTTTATACCTTCTTCACCTAGATTTTTGAGATGTTCAGTTGTAATCTCCGATGGTCCTGGAGCTTAGTTGTTCTTCATATCTTTTTTATCACTCCCACTATCTCATTATCTCTTGGTCTTCCACCTCCTAGTTTGACCGCAACATTTTTTGGCAGCTTCCTCCAGTATTTCGCTCATCTGGTTCCAGTGTTCCTCGCAAGATGCAATTCCCTCGGTCCGCAAGTCCTTTTTCTAAGTTCATTTACTTCCCTGTTGTTTTAATCCCTTTTCTCTTTAAGTTTCCAGACTCCACTTCGGGAGGGGATGTAAGATGTCCACCTGCGTATCTCTTGTAGGTCACCAGCTGCTCTTTATTCTTCCTTTGTCTTTTTGTTCCCTTCTTCGTTTACATCACGTGTCTTATAGTTCTATTCTTGTTTTCTTTCTTCTTCTCCTCTTTCTTGTTTCTCCTCTTATTCTTATTATTATTCCTCCTGATTGTCTATTTCTTCGTGCTTTTATTATACTTCTCGATTCTCTCTCTATCTATCTATCTTTCTATCTATATATCTATCTATTTCTCTCTTTCTCTCTCTCTCTCTCTCTCTTCTTCCTCTTACTCCCATTCGTATTCTCCTTCTCATCTCCCTTTTATTCGTCCCCTTTTTAAATCCTCTTCTTATAACTTTCCCGAAATGTGATTCCCATTTTCGTCAAAAAAGTTTTGAGAGGAAACCATTATAAATTACGACCTGCAACATCACCGAATAAGTTCAGTTCTCGTTAAATATGTCAGCAAAAGACCGGTTGCAACTAATGGCTATTTCTGAGTTCCCGTCTTCAGATTCTTTCTTCCGTTCTAGATTTCGTCCCTTAAATCAAGCTCTTTACTTGGGGATTTTGTTTATTTTTTTCTCTTCTGCTACTTGTTCTTCCTGTTCTTCTTTTCCTAGGTCTTATTATCATTATTATTATTATTATCTTCGTCTTCGTTTTCGCCTTCGTCTTCTTTTTCTTCTTCATCTTCATCTTCTTCTTTTTCTTCTACTTCTTCTACTTTTACTCCTCCTTCTCCTCCCTTTTCTCCTCCTTATTCCTATTCTTATTCCACTTCCTTTGCCTGTTATTTCCTGTAGGCTAAAGTGCATGTAAAAGCTTTAAAAGCGATCTGAAAGGTTTCAGAGATGCATTTCTGACTGGGTATAAGTCTGCCACGATGTTGTTGTTGTTGCTGCTTACTGCTGTTTTGACGGTGTTATTGTTGTTGTCATCATTATCATCATCATCATTATTATCATTATTATTATTATCATCATTATCAATGTTTCTGTTATTATTGTTATTATTGCTATTATCATTATCATTATTTTTTATCATTATCATTACCATTATTACTGTTATCATTCTTATTCTAATTCTCCATATTATCACTATTATTGCCATCATGATAATTAATATATATATATATATATATATATATATATATATATATATATATATATATATATATATATATTATATATATATATATATATATATATGTATATATATATATATATATATATATATATATATATATATATATATATACATATATATACATATATATACATATATATATAATATATATATATATATATATATATATATATATATATATATATATATATATATATATATATATAACACACACACACACACATATATATATCAATAATGATATAATTTCACTTTATTTGTGCATGTGTGTGTGGATAAATCATGCATAACACAGATACGTACACACCTATAAACAGACAGATAGATAAATTGTGTGTGCTTCTGTGTCCTAGGAAAAGCATTTGTTTACATACATATCCTCGGCCTTCTGTCCTTTCCACATCTAGCTTTATCCTCTTTACCTTATGGCTTATGCAGGACACATTTTCTCCCGTTCGCTGGTGGCCGAGGTGCTGGTAGAAATAATAATAATATCAGTGATATAAATAATAATAAAAGTAGTAATGACAATTGTAATAATAACAATAACAATAACAATTATAAGAATAACTATTATTATTATTATTATTATCATTATTATTATTATTATTGTTGTTGCTGCTGTTGTTGTTTTGTTGCTGTTGTTATTATCATTATTATTATTATTATCATTATACTACTACTACTACTACAAATAATAATAATAATAATAATAACAATAATAATAATAATATTGCTATGATTGTTATCTGTTACGTCATAAAAATATTCATTTAATAAAATCATATACGCAAACTCATTATACACCACTACATTCAGAGCAAATTGACCAAATCTTTGCATTTCACTACTCAACACACTTTCACTTTGCACGCTGCAATTAGTTTACCGTACAAAGTCAGATTCCCCCCCCCCCCCCTCCCGTACTCTGGTATGTTTAAGTGCATAATCAAGAGCTCAATTAAGTTTCTATTAGCAAAATGATTGTGCTTGTGGTAATGGTGGTGATGATGGTGATGATGAGGATGAGGATGAGGATGATGATGATGATGATGATGATGATGATGATGGTGATGGTGATGGTGATGATGAGGATGAGGATGGTGATGGTGATGATGAGGATGAGCATGGTGATGATGAGGATGGTGATGATGATGATCTCTGTTCTTATCAACATACAAACCTCCTTGTGTCTCTACGAAAAGAAAACAGATAACATCAACCACTTGGACCTTAAAGGAGGGAAACCTCTGTCCCTAGGGAACCGGTATCATTTGCCCCAAAGGCCGATACTTCCCAATCAAAATAAACAGCATGCATTTAGATCTAAAGAGACAACATCCATCTAAATTTAAAGAAAAGCCATGCGTTTAAATTCAAAGAGAAAACATTCTTGTAAATGTAAAGAAACAACGTACATCTGAATCTAAAAAAAAAAACATGTACAGTCCCCCCCCCCCCCCTCCCGTACTCTGGGATGATGATGATGATGATGATGATGGTGATGGTGATGGTGATGGTGATGATGAGGATGAGGATGGTGATGGTGATGATGAGGATGGTGATGATGATCTCTGTTCTTATCAACATACAAACCTCCTTGTGTCTCTACGAAAAGAAAACAGATAACATCAACCACTTGGACCTTAAAGGAGGGAAACCTCTGTCCCTAGGGAACCGGTATCATTTGCCCCAAAGGCCGATACTTCCCAATCAAAATAAACAGCATGCATTTAGATCTAAAGAGACAACATCCATCTAAATTTAAAGAAAAGCCATGCGTTTAAATTCAAAGAGAAAACATTCTTGTAAATGTAAAGAAACAACGTCCATCTGAATCTAAAGAAACAACATGTACAGTCGCTGAAAAAAAATATATATATTTGCTTGGGAGTAGATGAAACCGAAACAAAAAATCGTTAGGAGTTGATTCGGAAAGGTTGGTACTTATTGTTTTCAAAGCTCGGAACAGATGAAGCTTCATAGTGTGTTCGACTAGTGTTTCGGAGCTGATATGGCTAAGGCCTCGTATCATTGCAATGAAAACAATGGAGATCTCATAGAGCATTAGCAGTACCATTATTGCTCTTTACCAAGGGCTGAAATATTAAGAAGGTAGGTATTTCCAAGCAAAATGCGTCAACTAAAGACAAAGTCAGAAGTGGGCGCCCTAGATGGACGACGGAGGAAGATAAAGTAAAATAATTCAAAACCAAACATCAATGTGCCATATGAAAGACAAGAAGGGAGCTTTCATTGAAGTGCCTGAATACCATCTGCTAATGAAGACCATTTGATACTCGGTGGTAACACGCCTCACAGTGCGGCGTGCGTTGGAACGTCCCTTTACCGTTAGTAATTTTCTTCTTAGTTTTTTGTTTTCATTATTCTTTTAAACAGGCCGTAACTGCTGTAAGGGAGGGAGACTCTTTGTTCTGCTGGCGGGACTTGGCATTAGGCTGCACATGCAGACTGCCACAAAGAGCAGATTTTCCACGATTACGCTCTGCCACATTCACCCAAATCGCCAGACCTCAATCCCATTGAAATGTCTGGGTTGTCATAGGGCAGAGACTTCTCCCAAGATCATCATATCGTCGTTGCCGGAGCAATTACGGCATGGGAACGATTGCGCTCTGCAGACTTTTATGGTGTACATGAAGCGTAGACAAAATAATTAGACATTTCAAGCTCTTTGATTTTTCCTTTTAACTTTGCTTGAACTGTTAGACAACATCGTCATTACCATGAAATTCATTTAGGACATACGTTACTTGCATCATACATAACATGCGAGCAGAAACATCAATACCAGGTCGAGCTCACAGCACTTTTCCTACCGTTTTCGTAGGCGCATCATAATGTTAAGACAGAAAGAGTAAGGATACTTTTTTTAGCGAGCGTATTACACCTAAAGAGACAACGTATCCCCTCTGCAGAATTAGGTTACTATAAACTTAAACTGGTAATATTAAAATTAAACATTACTGTACTTGACGACCTTGGCTTTCGTCTCGAGCAGCGAAGTTAAACGGAGGTATCAAATATCCATTGGGTTGAGGGTGTATGGAATTTGCAGTAATGTTCCTTTGTGAAGCTATTGTTCGTTGGTGACTGCGGGAAGTGTTGCATTAGCGTATTTACTTGCTATGGATATTTTCTGTAGCCTGTTTTCATTTTTTTTTTCTTTTACTTTGTTCTGGTTTGTTGTAGGAACTTTTGCTTCAGATCGTCAACCTAATTAACGAGTGAAGCAATTAAATAATTGCCCACTTGAGACTTGTTCGTTCCTAAGAGACAGCTCCTAACCGTGCTTACTAACTCGAAGCGTTCACTGATCCAGAACAGCGTCGGCAGGCGTGTTCAACTGTGAAAAACATATTTATGAAAACGGAATATTTTGGCCGTAACCAAGACAGGTTTCGAGAGAAGTACCGAAC